TTCAGTACACAAGAACAAGATTGTTTCAAATTTTATTAATTGTGGGTTGGGATTTATATGGGCTAACCTTTGGCAACAGTGTGTAGGATTTTGTGAAGCTTTCAGCAATAAAGCGAGCAAGGAAATGTTATTGCTTAAGCACTGATGCCAAGAGTGGTAAGTGATCAAATGGACACAGAATGTGGTCAGTTTTCCTTTCAATCCATAATGTGGACCATGGGAGGTTCTCCATACTTTGCAGAGAACCCTGAAATTGTATATCCTTTTTACCACAAAACATTTTTCACAGCAGCATTATTAGATACCTGTAAGGAACCTGAACAGTTTTGTTTTTCTGAAGGTAATTATAACTGCACTTATAATTCCACTTGATTTCTTAGATCACAGCCCCATTAGAATCACATCCAAATACCTTTGTGCAGTTTATCTCCAACTCTGTAAGTTGCACATATTGAAGGTCCAATAGAGGACTATTACCATTTCTCTTTCTATTCCAGCAGTATTTAAACATGAAACCCTGTATATGTATATAAGGTAGCATCAATAAGTAAATAAACAAAATACTGAAAATGAACCATCATACTGGTCTTGTGATTGAGACTAAAAATGGAAGCATCCGAAGCATCACTAACATACACTGATTTTTTAATCTAAATATTTAAGGACTTAACAAGTCATTGAAAAATGAAATGTCAGAGAATTAAAGAACAATGCCAAATATATCTTTTAAAATTCTCATTAAGTCTCCCCAGTCATATTTCAAAAGATTCTAAATATTTATGACTTTCTAAACTATTGGTCATGAATTAATCATTTGGTACACAACTATTTCCACAAGTTGCTTTGGTAGTACAGTGACAGATAAAAAACAAAACAAAACAAAACACAAACTTAACAGAAGTTTCATTTCATCTATGAATGAGTTAACAAAGGAGGAATGCAGATACCTAACTGCACAATTTGCAGTCATTTCTGAAAGTGGTGTGTGTAGCAGAGCGGGGAAAACAAAGATGGAAAACCTGCACATAAAAATGCATCAAACTGACATATTTTGGTGTAGACTAAGCTTGGGTGTAAACCCCATCTCTTTCCCTCTCAACAAAAAGACTGAGCTGTTCCCATGCCAGGAATTTCCTGCAAATATCTCATGTACAACACAGCCTCACTTTTCCACCTCTTGGCTGTCTAAGCTAGACTTGCTAAAGAATGAGAACTCCTAGGAGGCCTCCTGCTGTTGGGAGCATGAATCTGAGTACTGCCAACCAGCAGAGGTGAACTTGAAGGATACGCATTGACTGAACAGTACTGTCACCAGTGTCAGCTCACATTCAATGTAGACCTGGCTCCATTCAAATAAAACAGTATTGGGAATTTGAAAGCAGAAAAAACAGCAAGGGCTGGGGAAAAAATAATATCTATGCGTGGTTCAAATATTCTGGTTACAGTGGACCAGGAGTGGGGTCTAGCATGATTTAAGGTTTATCATTATCACAGGAGAAGAGCTGAATATGGGGGCAGGACAGATACTTGAACAAAAAGCCTGGCCAGAAGCAGGAAGTAAAGAACCTGCTGCAGATCTGTGATAGATATAAGGGAGGAGGTGTTTCTTAGAAATGATTAAAACCTGAGAAAGTTCAAAAAACATCACAAAAGGTAAATAAGTTTTCTAGTCATGTGAAGTGAAAAAAAATACCCAAGCAGGTACATATGCCATGCAAGCCTACATGCAACTAAACCTGTATCACCTTCCTCTCCAAGTTTCTAAGAAAACTCTTTTCATCTGTATTAAAAAAAGAAAAAAGATTATTTTCAATTAGATATGAATGTATTTATACAGCTTTTATCAGAGCAATCTACAGGCAACAGTACACCCTTTGGCTGGTGCTTCATCAAGGCATCTCCCCCTTCCCAATTTATCAGAGTTAGTCATTTTAGCGACTAAAGGTATTATTTTGTCATATAAATGACATTGTAACATCCACTGCAGCATTCCGGAAGGGGGAACATTTGATTTTCATTTTGACCGAAACAACTCTCTACTGCAATAGCTGACAGTGATGCTTCTCAGATGGCAAGATCTGTGAAGATTTATAAACAGCTAATACAGAACTCACGTCAACAAAATTACACATCTAGAACTCTGATAATTGCCCCACACTGAAGTGATTAAGAGATAGTGTCTATCATGCTGTGAAAAAATAAAAATAAAAAACATTAAAACCCCCCTACAAAACCTCTTTCAAAAACAATGCTTCAGCTCCAACACAGGCTTGCATGAGTGACTGATGCTGATGAGTAGCAGATAGTTCTGACAGAGGCACTGCCTATTTTTTTCCTCAGAAGTTTTAATTCTGTTCTTTAAATTCAGAGATGTGACATGAAGATCTGAATGTGACACATACCCACAAGTAAACCACTGAAGTTAAAGGATTAATCTGTCTTTTACTATACTTCAGTGGTTTTACTTCAGAACATTTTTTTCCCATTTATGATGCTGCCATATTGACAATAGCTCCATCTCCAGAAAGTGGTAATAATTCCAGCCACCTTTCAACAAGGGAAAAGAAACAGCGTTAATGATGAAGGAAAACAACCTTCATCTATACAGTCAGAAAGAGTGAACACTGTTTAATCCAATGGAAATTTTGGTAAAGACTTAAAGTACACCTAGATTATTGCCAGAAGAGCCTTCAAGATTTATTTTATAAATCAGAAGTTGATTAGACATAGTTGAGCTTTAGGAAATCTGAATCCAAATGCTCATTGGCCCAAAACAGTATTGTCCTGTCTTGATTTCTGCTTTTTGTATGTTCTCATGTGCTCTATTCTCAGTACTGTCAGGGGTGACAATGGGGAGGTGGGTCAGATAAAGAAACAGAAACACCAGAGCTGGATTAAACTTTATTTCCTAATATTTACTTTTCTGAAGAATAAAGATATCAAAAGTCAACTGCAAATGAATACAACATGGAATCTTACCAAAGGAAAGGAAAAATAAGGAACAAATGAAAACTACTTTGCTGGAAATTCTATTGTATCTGAACATACTTTTTCTATTAATTACTGGCAGCAGCTTTCCCTCTTTGGCCACAAAGTAGCTGTCTTATAAAGATATGAATGTTTGTGTTTCAGGGTTTTTTATTTGTTCTTTGGTTTGATTTTTTTTTTTTTAATTAACAAATATAAATTGATTCACACTTCATTGAGGACCCGATTCCCAGCTCAAGTGTGGTAAGCACCAGCAATTCATGGAATGTAATGGCCAGTGACATACAGGGGGTCAGTCCATGATCTCATGGACTCTTCTGGCCCTAAGCTCAAGGTCTCTGTTACACACTTATCCAGCTAATGTCCTTGGAAGTGAACTTTATTTCCATTTTAATGCAGAACTACAAGATCTTGTTAGAGACCATACATACATCTGACAAAGTTGGAAGGTAACAAAAGAGAACGCTCATCATAATAAAATGCAGCTGCATGAAGAAATATTTAAAGTAAAAGTGCACACTGTTAAAAAAGTGTGGTAGACAATCCTTTTATTAAATTAGCCAAGAAAAAAATTGGAGCCTTTACAAGGCAGCAGAACAGTTTAGGGTTAATCTTATTTCCGTCCAGAGAGAGAGCAAGAGCAAGCGTGTGCGCAGGCATACACACGCTATGGTGCATACAGCTACAATATTGTATCATGAAGGGTCATTTACAAGATCTGCACATCCTGATGCAGCTACAAGGAGCACACATTACAGTACTGGAGCGTTGAATCAATTAACCCTCTCTGGCTGCTTTCCAGCCAACCCCCCCCCCCCCCATTTACTTGCCTGCTTTTCAAGCACTGGAGCTGAAAACACTGAAATGAGTCAATCAGCAAACAAGGGTAGCAGCAGACTGGGAGCTTCGCTAATGAGAAGAGAAAACTGCGCACAGACTCTGCTAATCACTTAAGTAAAATCGTCCAAATGATGGAAGAGAAAGGACAGCAAAAAAAAAAGAACACAACCTTATTTCTATCTTTTTTAAATGTGGCAAGATTTATTATTCTTCTCCATTCAAGAGCTGGAGAAAATACCTGGATAAGAAATACCGTTTTCCCAAAATACAAATTCTTCATCTTGGTACCAGAAGAAACAAGTGCCAATGAAAAGTACACAAAAAAGACAAGTTTTAGAAAAATTATAAAAAACAAAACCAAATCAACAACTTGCTTTCCAGAAAGTAATGAAAAATCTCATCTTAAAATCCACCAGGTGATGAAAAGGATTACAAAGGATCTTCCTGGATACAAAGTGAACTCTACTAAAATGCAAAAGAAAGAGGTAAGGCTTTCTTCACCTGAAAATTGCAGCACATGACATCTTCTCGGTAACTGAGCATTTGTTCAGCTTAACACCGTGAAAGCTGTTAAACTCTTCAGCAGAGTTGAGGGACAGAGAGAGGGAGAGAAAAGGTTGTACTTAATAAAAGCCCTGCTCAGATTACAAAAACAAGTGGTTTACTCACTTCCCCCCTTCAAGTAATGGGTAAATTTAGATGTCTCAGTTTCATAAATCTTCACGGTCCCCTTGAGACTGTCACCAGTGTTTTACTATCTACAGCTTCCTGACCCTCATCTGATAAATCAGGAACCATAAAGATTAAAATGGAAACCTCATACATAATTTCTGAAGATATTTTTGAGGTGACCCTCTGTGGAGAAACAGGATTCTTAATAAGGGGAAATATGGGAATTGCCGTCTGCCTACGCACACGCTGCTGGAGAGTAGACACTTGGGAGAGGAGGAGTTGCATATACACAATGTGAGCATCTGCCTTCGAATCAGTTTGTACTTACAAAGAGCAGATCTACATGCACTGTACCTAAAGGGAACCATTTGGCATCCAAATTAATCTATTACTTTTTACTGCTGTAGAAAGGAAAGAAAAGAGGGGGAGTAGCTAATGGACTGCTTGCTTTTCACAGCTACTGAATTTTCTCCTATAATCCGAAACCTGAACCTGGGAGACCAGACCACTGAACCCTGCCAAGCAGAGATGGACATAAAACAAGACTTTCATTTTTAAGACTTAATTGCACCTAGCAAGGCACATGATAAAAAAGTTGGAAACGAGCTCAGAGATGGTTACAGTATCTCAAAACAGCAGATGACTAGTTTACCATACTGACCATGCTGGCCTTTCTGCAGGACCATCCCGGACCAGAGAGGAACAGTGAACTCCTACACCGGATGCAATTCCTTTGCAAAATACAGCTCCTGAATACGTTCTGCTGGACACAAAAATGTCCTATCCTTCACATTTCCTGAACGGGTCTGGAGCTGGCAATGAATCTTTGTCGCCTCTCTCAGTAACGGGAGAACCCAAGCAGGACTACCCAAGTGAGGAACAAGGAAACAAAGTGCGCTGGGCAGCTTTACTGATCCTCCTGGTGATAATCCCTACAATTGGGGGGAACATACTCGTCATACTGGCAGTGTCTCTAGAGAAGAAGTTACAATATGCTACCAACTACTTTTTGACGTCCTTGGCAGTGGCAGATTTGCTTGTGGGTCTATTTGTGATGCCGATTGCCCTTCTCATGATCTTATTTGGTAAGTACAGCATGTTTATTTCATCAGGATAGCATATGGGGTACAGTTTGGGGAGGTCTAATTTAAACAGAAAAACTATTTGCTTTCCACCATTACCATTTTTAAAATCCCTTGAATGAGGGCTGCTAATCTTCTGCCCAACTTCATATAGTTTAATGTCTTTACGGCAAGTATAGCCACTCTGGATATTTTTTCCTTTGAAACAAACAATTCAAGAATCACCTGAGACTTACAATTGATGCTAAATTGGAGCTAGACATGGGAGATCACATTGTGAACAGTGTAATATTATTTTTAGCAACATCAGCACAATCTTGGCATCTGTTCTATTCAATATTACACCAATTGCAGGCAGTTTTCTCTTAAAAAAAATGCTAAATGAAAACTAGGTATCTGTTCAGTACACTGAACAGGTTTTGAACTTTTTATGAGTCAGGCACCTGATTTTACCTTAGTATTGACTCAAAGCTCCATGAGCAGTTAGAGATGGCTCCTGGCAGCAACAGTGACAACAAACTTTACCAGTACCACTTGCAGGTAAATCGATTTTCTCCCACCCTGGGGAAAGTGGCAAGCTCATAAAGCATCCCAAAGAATTAACTTATCTGTCAAGCCAAGGAAGCTTCAATCCGTGAACCTAACATTTCAGGCTTAGATTTACCACCGAGTCTGGCTCATATGGAATAAAGTAAGTATTTTTTTAATATGAGCATACATCATCTGTGACATTTTCTCTCTGGTTAGTCATTACAGAACAAGCATGACTTTTCATATTCTCTCATGTCCAGCTTTATTTCAGATATTGCTTCTGACAACTAACCAGAGGCAGCTCCATGGGAAAGTCTCTCTCTTTTACTCCTAAACTTCCTTTAAGAATACATTTTCAGTGGTCTATTTTCATACCATACAACTAAAGAAAAAAATCAACTAGACTTTTTTTTAATAAACTTAGGGATTTACACAATTATCTTTAAGGTATAGATACCACTGGACTCTAAAAAATGAAAGGCTGCAGCAGTTCATTTTTAATATTCTGGATCTCTAGAGTTACCCAAGTAACAAAAACACAATAAGAAACTTTATTTCAGAAAGGCTTTTGTTTGCTGCAGAAGACTGGTATAACTTTATTAACAAATGTGATTATTCAACTAAATGACAGAAGTATGAAGTGGAGGTCAGAATTCAATGTTGAAATAAAAAAAAAACAGTCTTTTTTCAAGCAAGTTTCTAAAAGGAAAAATTGACATACATGACCAGGACAGTGATTTATAACTTGAAAAAAACCCAGTCACTTACAGAAAACCTTGGTATGTCATGTATGTGTATGTGTGTGTGGAGGCAAGAAACAGATATGTACAGACATACACACTGATAGTGTTACTGCTTAGTTCCTGCCAAAGGCCTCATTAATAATAAAATGACTAACTATAAAAAGTACTAGTATTGGAGTAGCAATCAATACAAAGAGAAGGCAAGTTCCAGATTTGGTGGTGGTGGGGAGGTTTTTGGTTTGGATTTTTAAAACTTATTTTTGGATTTTTAAAACTTATTTTATTTTTTGCTAGACTACTGAATCTTTTCTTTTTAACTTTATAAAGGGGCTATTGCTCCTTAATCTCTCAATTAATCCCATGCTAAACCCTGGTTACAACAGTTTAAAACATGCTAGGAATCTTAATTTAAATGTAAAACAAAGGTATCTTTCATCTTGCAGGAAATTTACTGGAGAGTAGCAAAATTAGTTATAACTAAGACTGCAACCAGCCTTTCACAGAGCAGTGGTTAAAACTGAAATTTCTTGCATACAAGTCTCTTTTTGGCAGCCAACCAAAGAAACTGCTTTGCTTCTTCACTGACTGGGAGAAGATGCTGAGGTGTTTATAGAAGTTCAAAGCATGAGCAAAACATGAGGATTTACTGGAATGAAGCTAGAACAGACATTTAAATACATAACAAGTCTAAATCTTGAAGCTACATTAGCCGGCTAACCACTTGAATGTAAAAAAAAAAATCACTGATACCCAGAGAGCAAACTCCTGGCACTTCCACACAGGAATGTCTCCATAATAAGGAAATAGCTGGATGCAGCTTCTAGATACAGAATACAAGTATTATGCTTCTGATTTGGGACTGATATCTAATTATGTGGAGAATATTTGAGGGAAAAGGTGTGAACCAAAGTGCAGTCATATTAAATGATCTTGACTGTTAAAACTAAGCACAACGTGTTCAAATTCAGAGCTTACTGCAGATATTGGCTCCATGCCCTCATGGTACGCTTCAGAAAAATCTTCAGAAATAGGCAGACTGTAATAAAGAGCTGCCCCTTTTAAAGATAAATACACAAACCTGTAACTCACACTCACAGGTATCATACCATGAGCAGAATATTTATTTTCAGTAGAGTGACCAAAATGTACTCTGGTACAAATATGCACTGCAATTTTCATTTAGGAGTGTGACTGTCAGGATACACAAACAGTCCACTGCTTTTATTGCTTGCTAAATTCTCATTTCTTCCAAAAAAAGAGGGCATGTTAAGAAATAACTGCATCCTCTGAAACCTAGCTTTCAAGAGTTACCTACAATTCTAACACTGAGAACTACTAAAGAAAACAAAAAATGTTGCTACTGATTGCATAGCAAAAATAGCAAATAAATTGGAGAAACCCTCTCATTTGCAAAGCCTGCAGCAGGAAGAAGTCTGTTGACCACAGCTTGGTAGGCAATGGGTTCCTTGGACACAGTGCATGTACCATACTTTAAAATAGAAATTTTTAAAATATAAAATATTCCTGATGTTTATCCACTTAAAAATCAGGAGGTGATGCTGATCATCCTAGGTTGCAAACCATCATTTTTAAAATCTATCACATGCAATCATCGTCTTAATCTTCACCCATTACTGATGATGAACCATAGCAAATCTTCCCTTCTTGCTTGTGCAAACTACCAGAGAAAACTTCCTTATTGAGAGCTACTTTTCAAAATCCCAAATCTAAAGATAACTAAGAAAATAAAGATTGGCTTGTCACAAAGCAACTAAAAAAAACCAAAAAAAAAAAACCAAAAAAAAACCAACCCACTTCAGCTAAATTTAAAAAACTACATGACCGTGAACAACTGTTGAAAATGTAATGGTAACAGAGAAGCAAAGGCAGGCAGCCACAGGGGTGAAGCAAGACAACAGCCTGGAAACACCAGGCCTGCGCAGTCCACAACGCAGAATACTGACCCGAGGATGAACACCACACATGCATGATGCAGACACACACCCCCCAGTCTGAAGACTGAAGCCTAGGCTTAAGTCAGCTAGTGATTAAAAATATCCAATTTCAGTAAAAGCATCATTATCTAACAGCAACAAAATCCGATAGAGGGAACATGCTTCAGCAGCCTATAACAAAATCACAGAATGGTTGGGTTGGAAGGGACATTAAAGATCATAGAGCCCTGTGAGGATATGAGGCAACGTTTGTAGGAAGGAGGAATATTTTTCTATCTTACACTACATGACAGCTGGAGAAACCAGACAAGCTTTCAGCCAGGCACATTTGTCAGGTAACCATGGCATTTAAAAAAATTTACTAAAAAAACCCCAAATCCAACCCACTAGCTTGCTTAAATCAGCATTTCAATTCTGAAAGAAAAAGGTGGAGAATCTCAGCCCAGTAAATGCTCTGGTCTGCTCCAACAGTGTGGATCTATACTAGGAGAATCAGAATTTCTAACTATCCAAACTAGGCATGACCTGCTAATGGCTTTCTATTGCCACCTAGCAGGACATACTCACTTTACCTTCCATCTGAATTATAAAGCAAGACAACAAACAAGCAGGTCATCATCATGTTCAAGGGTCAGACATGCTTTGAGTTCTGAGAGGGGAAATCAATATTCTAACTACCAAAGTAACAGAATAGGCCAACAGTGATACCACTATTGCCAGGAAAGCACAAAATCTCAGCCCAGAGCAGTCCCTCAAACACTAGGCACAGAGCTAACACAGGTTTAACCAACCTGTGTAAAATCAAAATAAGTAAAAGCAAAATACACCACAGTATGAAACCTAAATAACTATGTGGCTTTCTGGATTTTAAGGTACCAGTTTCACAACATTTAGTTGAAATAATAACTGTATTCTTCAATTCTTATTAGCTACTGCATTTAAAGTCTACTTTGATTTTGTTTGGAGAAAAAACATGATCACAGACACAAGCATAATAGTACAGAATGCTATAATCATGAATGTGATAATCTACCACCTTCTGCACCCTGTTCAAAACAATACAAAAAAATAAAGACAAAACTCTCTTCAGTTGCACTTAGCAACTAATGAAAGCTCTTAAAACTCATAAAAACATACAAGGCTGCTTTGCACCAGATTGCTGTTTACATGGGAAAAAAATTTAAAAAAAGAAGAATTTATCACTGCAATTCAAGAAGCAAAGCAGTTATAATCCCGGGAGCAGCATGTAAGTACTCTCCAACAGAAATACTGCCTGCTTATTTGAAATCCAGCTGTTATCCTGCCATATGATTAAATACGAGTAGGGGTTTCATAATATACTAATTACAACTTCCTCCTACCTGTCTGACACAACAATTTTTTGAAGCACAATTTCAACCATGATAGCTATTTTGGGAAATATGCAGCTAGAACTAAAATTTACTGGTTAATGCTTTGAATACAGAATGCCTCTTTCCCTTCTGCCTCACTGCTTATGCCATCCTCCCCTGCTTTGGGGGTGGATGAGGTTTGGTTCAGGGCTCCATCCATCCATTTTCTTTGTTTTTACAGGCGAGGCTTCCCAACATAGGGAAGAATGCAGACAAGCATGTGCTATGTCTGACTTCATAAAATTTTCCATTCTATGAAGTTTTTAATTCAAGTCAAGGCAGCACCATTATAATTTTCACCTATCAGTTACACCATGTTTTATTTCAAACTACTGCAACATTACCACATTGATAAGACTGAGCATTAAACAGTCCAGCTCGTTTCGCACTCTCAGCACTGCAGATCTATTTATTCAGAGCAAGATTAAAAACAATCAGATTAGCTAGAAATGTTGGTTGTTTTTTTGGTTTGGGGTTCTGTTTTTTATTTGTCCTTTAAGCATCATTCAAGTAAGAACTGATTTCTCTGGCAATATTATTACTGTACCTACTGATGGAGTACAGCTGAATTTTAACAGGAAGGAGTATATAGTACATCAACTTCTACCATTAGAAACACAAAAACCTTCTATGTTCATACTTTCTTCCCTAGGACTACAGGACATTCTTACAGACACACAACACTAATGTGCATCTCAAACTGAACACTGCTAGCACTGGACTGCAATGAAAACTGCTTGTGAATTAATATAAACCCGTTAAAAAAAAACCCAACCAGAGTTTCATTACAGTTCACTTGGTTTGGTATTGTAAACTTTGGTAGGGGAGACCCAGCTCCCAAAACTACAAGCTTTTTGAAAAGTTTAACACTACAAAACCACAATGCATTTGACAGATGCTAGGTTCACTATAGAGTAACATTAAAGACAGATAACTACTATAAGAAGCAGTATGCCATACTGAAAATCCAAGCCATCACTTTGGCAAGGGGGAGGGGGAAGATGCACAAGAAAGCCCTTCAGTTTTTATAAAATCATTACTGGGACAGAATAGCCCTGCTTTGCGACATTAGTGCTCAACTGCAGCTGGCCAAGGGACACAGCAAACTCATTTTAAAACTATGTGAACTAAATTCTCCAAGATCACCAACTAAGATTCAATCAAGTTTCTACAATGACTGAGTAATGCGCTGGTTATGACCCATTACCTCCTCCATCTAATACAACCCTGAATCATAAGACTATCAAAGAGACATAGCTGAAAATAATAACAGCAGGGCACAAGGACCAAGCACAGTCATAACCCACTTTTTAAAAACTTTTTTATCCAAAGTCCTTGCCACAAATACCTTATGATCTAAAAAGGACAAAAGACAGGAAAAGGCTTAATATACCAGCAGCCTGATTAATATGATGGCAGCAATCATGCCAGTTAGGAGCTAACTAAAACGTAAGACAGAATCCAGCTGAGGCAGTGGCAAAGCTCATCTCCTGTAGTATTGTGAACTTCTCAAAAGAACTAACAGCCAAGGGAAAACCACACACTGAAAACTCTCGAAAAACTTAGATTCTAATGAGTTTTCTGTTTTCTTTCAGACAACGCCTGGCCTTTACCAACTGCCTTGTGTCCTATCTGGCTGTTCCTTGACGTCCTCTTTTCCACAGCTTCCATCATGCACCTCTGTGCCATCTCACTTGACCGCTATATTGCAATTAAAAAGCCAATCCAGGCTAGTCAGTACAATTCATGGGCTACAACAGTCATCAAAATCGTCGTGGTTTGGCTCATTTCAATAGGTGAGACTTGGAACTGGAAAAGGAATGCAAAAGCTTTTCACATCCAAAACAATGGGTGACTGCTGGTCAAAATGGAAACTCTGGCCAAGTACTATTGATTAGCAGACCCTAACATCTGGGCTGGCCTAAGTCCACCTCTTAGATCGTGCATAGCTACACCACAAGAATTTGCCTCAACCACCACTCCTTATCAGGCTTACCCTACTCAATCGTACCTTTTCTTCATGGTCTTAAAAGTCCAAAGATCAGAAGACAATAACTGCATGCACAGTATGTCTTCTGGGAAAGCAAGCGTCTATGTTCCTGTGGTAGTATATTCTGTCCCAAACACAGTTTAAAGACTTGAGTAGATGCTGCTAAAATCTGTACTTCACAATTTTCCCATGAAGCAAGTAAAAAAAGGCTAATTACTTATATCAAAGACTGAAAGATAAATGAGTGGCTGGTAACGTTCACATTGAAGACTGAGATGCACTGGCAATACAGCATATAGAAAGGCTAACTTCTAAGCAAAAAAAAAAAAAAAAAAACACCAAAAATCCCAAAACCAAACACACCCTGAAGAGTTTTATATAAAGGAAGCCAATGAATAAACTTTTAAATTAGCACCTCTGTGATGTGCACCTGCCTTGACGGACTGAAAATAAAAAAAAAAAAATCTGTTAAATGAGCTAAGGAAGTGAAAACATTTAATTCACATAACCTAATGTACACTGCAGGCAGCCATAGGCACAGTGCTGTATGCTCTGTGTGCAAGAGAAAGAATAGAATTATTCTGTGTTGCTAAAGCAAATGATTCATGGTAGAATGGATACATCCACCATCTTGGCCAAGGTATACATGCCTAAACCCAAAAAGTCTAACTTAAAAAAAAATTCAGGAAGAACCGTGATGATAGGAGAAAAGATGCTATCTTTATTTTTTCATTAAAAAAAAAAAACAACCAACCAATCAAAAACCTGTTAGCATGACAAGACACTTACAAATTGACCTTTTAATGCCTGGTTTGTTGTTAGTAATCAGTGCTGTACTTTTCCATTTGCTTTTTATCTGACACAAAAGCATTCTGCAGCTGAGCCAGGGTTCTCCAAATCAAAGGTTAATTTGGCTCAATTCTCACTTTAAATCTTTGCTGTATCTGAAGGTGTGCCTCTTATTAAGAAAGGGATCAAGTGGCTGAAGAGTTTTTTTTTGCTCTTGCTGCCTTCAACCAACTTTAGTAAGCAGAGTAGCAGAGGAATACAGTAAATGCCTACATCTCATTAAGCAGTATCAGGAAACATAGCACAATAACCTTCACCGGGCAGTAAGGAAGCTGTTGTTTTTGTTGCAATGTCAGACTGCTGGCAAACAAAGTGCTGACTGCAATTTAGTGGTTATAAAAAATTCATTTAAAAGACAGGACTGATAACTTTTTTTATATTTTTTTAAGAGTGGTGAATTACAGAACTATCTGGTCTCGTTTAAACACTCTTAAATATGCAAGAGACTTTAAACAACAAATCCATCTGAAACACACCCTGCATAATTCTGGCAACTATTTAACTACTTGTACATATGAAAGAGTCAAGGCAGGGTGAAAAAAAAATAAAAAAAAATCAGCTGTGTCCAGTAACTTGATGGGGTTAAGATAAGAAGCAAAGACAAGATTCATGTGTTTATCAAACTGCCCTTCAAAAACTGCAAAGGTTACCCCAGGGGAAAGGGGGTGGAAGCAGGTGGCATTAGGGAAACACATTTCACTGGAGGAAAAGCCATACTAATTCTAACAACTACAGTCAAAACAATTAATGTTTTTTACACTTGAGAAGTTGGCAACTTTATACTGCTTCCTCAATCAGTAAAGGTTAGGCCCAATCTCCTTAGAAAAGGCACTCTGTTATAGCTGAGGTTGCCAAGTCTTAAAGAGTACTATTTGCCCAACTACACACATGATGCTCTCAGTTCTCTGTCACTCTGTGCCAGCTCCAGAGCTCAGGAACTACCTTTCTTTAGAGACCCTGAGGCTTCAGGCCCCAAAAAGATGGCAAGCGATTACCACATGCTGAAGTACTTTGTTCTTCTCCTGCAGGAATTGCTATTCCAGTCCCTATCAGAGGCATTGAAGATGGAAATGGCAACTCTACAAACATCACATGTGCCCTGATGCCTGATCGTTTTCATGACTTCATTCTGTACGGATCAGTGGCTTCATTCTTCATTCCCCTCGCTATCATGATAGTCACTTATTTTCTGACAATCCAAGTGCTACGCAAGAAGGCCTACTTGATCAACAAGCCACCTCACCGTTTCACATGGTCAACAGTGTCCACAGTATTTCAGCGTGACACAACATCTGCCTCCTCACCAGAAAAGGTGGCCATGCTAAACAGCTCCAGAAAAGACAAGACTTTGTCCAATGACATGCCAATCTGCAGAACATCCACAATAGGGAGGAAGTCCATGCAAACAATAACCAATGAACAAAGGGCGTCAAAAGTTCTGGGGATTGTATTTTTTCTTTTCTTGTTGATGTGGTGCCCATTCTTCATAACAAACATAAGTTCAGTTCTGTGCAACTCCTGCAACCAAGAGATTTTTCAAAAGCTTATGGAGATATTTGTTTGGATAGGATATGTATCCTCAGGAGTGAACCCTCTTGTCTATACACTATTCAACAAAACATTTAGGGAGGCTTTCAGCAGGTATATCACTTGCAACTATCGGACCACAAAGCCTATCAAGGCCCTTAGAAAACGTTCCAGCAGCATCTCTTTCAGAAGCTCTGTGACAGAAAATTCCAAGTTCTTTGTCATGCATGGGATGAGAAATGGGATTAACCCCATTATATATCAGAGCCCGATGAGGCTGAGGAGCTCACCCATCCAAGCATCATCAGCCATTCTGCTGGATACATTGCTGCTCACAGAGAATGAAGTTGATAAAACAGAAGAACAAGTCAGCTACGTATAGTGGAATGCAGCTGTCTGTATCACAGTGTTACTGTATGTATTGTTCTAGGTAACAACACATATGTACTGTAAGATGGTATAAATACTATTGTTTTCTGTTATTTATGCAAGCAACACCTTACAAATTTATATTAATTCCTCTCCTCCAAACTCTCCCCTATTTTAACCCCAACCCCAGGGTGGCACTCACGACTTCATTCCATGATAAATGACTGATGCAGAACTGTAGCCAACAGGAAAAGGGAAATAAATAAAAGCTAAACCAATCTGCATATCTGACTTCAGTTCTCACTACCCCCAGTCTCTTCAAAGTACATTTTTATAAGAAAAGCATCTCTGTACAAACACTAATATTTTACTCTGACAAGAAAACAGAACATTCTGTAGGTTGATGCTTTATGATGAAATTAGCAAGGGGATACAAGCATGCTTGTTTTAATTTAAATCCACCTTTACTCTGTGTAAACAGAACAGCACATACACTCACTGCGTTACCTTCTACAGACATATTCCTTTGCTGAGACTGTGTATCCAAGTATGAGCTTTTCTCGTTCTCTATGCGTATGTGTATCAGAAGCAGAATCACTTGCTCCAGAGACCAAAAGGTGTCCATTCCACAACAGGTGAAACTGTTTCTTAGCAGGGTGAGCAAATTTCCATGTGCTGAAATTGTCCCTTTGTTGTTTTACTGTAGGGGTATGTAGAATCTTTTACCCACCTGAATTTCATCTGCATTACTCTCACATACAAATATGTCTGGTATTGTTATATTTGTCAGATGTTGTTTTCATACTAAGAAAGTGAGAGCATTTAACCATAATAGGACAATACCACATCAGTGATCATGAGTAAACCAGGACAGGCAGTGCCTGGAACTTTCCTTTAATTTAGATGGACAAACTTCCTTTTTTACAGCTCTTGGAACATCAGTGAAAGCCTTCCCTTATCTTATATAGTTCACACAAAGTAGAAAAATCACAGATAGAATAGCTATTGCACTTGAAAATAAGAGCAAGTGTTTAAGAGACAGCAGAGATGGCAGTACTATCCACACCTGCACACATCTGCAGTTTAGCTTAGCTCAGAATAATTTCACTGGACTAATGGCATAAGATTGTAGGTCCCAATCTGCACTCTCTCAAACATGCTCAAGCCTTTCATCAGAGCATCAAATTCATACATAGAATCGCTCATCACAATCCATAAAAGTTACCAGAGTCTAGCATCTGTGAAATGAGGAGCTTCTGACAGTTCCAGAACATCTTTCTTTGGGAAGGCAAATCAGATTTCCCCAAAGTACTGGAGTTCTCACAGTAAGCAGCCAGCTCACCATTTTTTCCCAATAGTTCCCCTTTACAGTAACATTTTTAGCTGGGTCTTTGTTTTCATTTTTAGTGTTTTCAGAACCCTCTAGTTACAAACTAAAATTATGTACAGAAAAAGGCTTAGGATTTTTCCTCCTCAGAACAGAAAGTATGAAAGATAATGTCCTTTCAACATTTATTTGCATATATTTAATTTAGAACATATGCATACCTGATATGGAGCCTAATGTAAAAACTGCCACGGGAGTCCCAGAAGAAATTACTAAAAATACTTCTGTGTTACTTACTATAACTATGTTGTCTTCTTCCTACCCTTTTTGGCGATAGTCACTAGTCACTTAAGTAAGAAAAAGCTCTAACTGCTCTTACACCTCTTTTTGTTAAAATTTGTTTAAGGGGATCCTGTAGTTAAAGCCAGAATTGATGGACTGCTATACTTGTAAAAGATACCTACATCTAAAAATATTTGAGAATCAAAAGCCTTATTAAGACCTAGACTACTTGAAGCTCAAGGGGTGAGGGAGTAGGAATAAAATGAACCCCCCAAAGTAAGGCCTCTTAGTAATCAGTGGTTAGACTAACAGGAAATGACCCTTGAAAAAGTCTCACTTGGCAAAGATTTTGTGAAGCCGGCATATAGATTTCTCAGTTTTAGTAACCATATAAAGAAACATGTTCCAGTTATTGAATATAGTCAGCAATAATAAACCTCAATCCAAAGGACTAGTGACTCATCAAAAATCCAGTCTTCCTACAAAGAAAGGAAATTTCTCCATGGACAGAAAAACATGCACATTCCATTTAACATGACAAGTGTAAAAAGAAATTTCTTGTCCACTGAGAAAGCAAACAAGTGAAGAATTCAGGTAACAGTCTTGGAAAGCATGAGGACAGAGGGAGAAGAAAGATGATGAGAAGATGCAGAACTATGAAATAAAAAGACAATATAACAGACAGCAGAGATCTTGTTTTAGCAACTGTATCTACAAGAACAGATTTGAGCAAAGACATTACCTTCATTAGCAAGACATGATTGAAAATAAGAGAGTCACTGCAAGCTACTGTAAGAAAGCACAAGTTTGTTGTACAGTAACTAAGGACAACACTGCTCGTGTGGTACTAACAAGCAAGATAGGAAGCTCAGGACCACATCCACAGACATCATCTTTAAGCAACACAAATTTATAAGGCATTCCTTTCTCTGAAGTAAGATGCTCTCAATTCTTCCAGAACCTGGCCCATGACAAACCAATCATGTGGCCAGCTCTGTGGCCTCAATGTACTACATAAAAATAGTAACTTATACAGTTACCTAGTTTAACTTTCCTCATTATCATAGAAGCTTTTATCTGGCATATTTCATTTCTGTTTAAACTACTAGAGAAGCAAGACAGACAAGAGTAAAAGCTGATCTGCAACATACAAGCACTATGGGAAGAAACACATTTTAGAAGAGCAATGGACAAGTATGAGGTTTTTTTTGTTGTTGTTGTTTCATTAATACATTAGGAGATATTTAGTTAATGTTCTGGCTGCCTATCTAATTAAAAATTACAGCACAGACATGGACATAAGGACTACCTATAAATATACCCACCTTAGCAGCCCTGAAGAGAGGAAAACAATGGAGTTCGAAGCCTAACAGAATTCAAGTGTCTTGAAATGAAAATAAAGGGAATATCATGAAGAAAAAAAAAAACCACCACCCTAAAAAACCAAGCAAAACCAAACAAAATCCCAACCTTTAAACCACTCTATGAAACAGAGAAGCCAGAAATTCAGCTAATCTCAACTGTGCTGATTTAAAACATGTTTTGTGGAACCAGTCCCAAATCATCTGGGGGATTAAGCTGCAAGACCCTTTCGTGGTATGGTTTAGTGTGAGGTGTCCCTGCCCATGACGGGGGAGTTGGAACTAGATGATCCTAAGGTCCTTTCCAACCCTAACTATTCTATGATTCTAAGAAAATTTTCAGGCAGCCAGAAAAATGTATTCATCACTTATCTTGCATTCTCCAAATGTAAAACTTTCCTAATCACTTCACATCTTCCCATACTCGTATTGATTTCAAATGCATCAAAATACAGTTTAAAAATCGTGTTAAGCAGAGGACAAGAGAAGAGAGACTGATGTTATAAAGCTGTTCACTAGCATACAAGAGGCATGCTGATTTTTTTATGCTGCTTCATAGAAAATGTAATTTTCCTACACCATTTTCTTACTGTGGAAAAATCCACAGCACTTCAGGCTGGTATGAGAAAGCAAAAGGATTACTCCCCTAAATCTTTTTCTAGGCTGTCATATGTAACTTCAGCCTTAAAAGGTAAAGTAATGCAAGCACAGTAAACCTGGTGAATACATACTGAACAACCTGGTACTCTGGAGCCAAAAGAGACAGGACATTCACCAGAGCTCCTCTGGCTCTTTGCATTGGAAGCTGGAGGCAAGAGTCCCAGAGTTCTGGCCCGTTCTCAGCACTGACTTAATACTACCATGAAACATTAGATTTCTTTCATGACATTGATAAAAATGCCTACGTACAACTGTTAAGAAGCACTTCTTCGTTTCACTTCCCCTTTGGCTCTCTAGGTAACTATCAACATGGTAAAAACAGCAGTCAGGAGAGAAGTAACTTCCCTATTTCTGCTTTGTTATTTGACATCATGTTGTTTACTGTCACTGTCCATTCCCCTGGGACACACTGTTTTCTCCAGTAGCAAAGGAAGGCTTTTGCCCTGCAGGAGAGGCAGCTTTTTAGCTTTTAAATAGGAAGCCAGCTACAAAATAGGAAAGATGACTTGCTGAAAGGTCCATATTTACTTTTTTAAAATGTTATGTCAAACCCTATTTGTCTAGCCACACCTAAGATTCCTTGCATCCAGGTACCAAGATCCTTTCCAACCTCTGAAAAACAGTATCATGCTCTTAAAAATTAGGAGCTTTTTGCTTTCTGAAGGATCCTCTTCACGAATGCTCTAGACAGTTGACAGCAACTCATTTTCAAATACATTAACCACTGCACAACAAATAAGTCTTTTATTCTGCAAGATGCACATCAATATACCTTAATAAAATCCAACAGGAATATTTGCCATTAAAAAAAAACAACAAAACATCAACTTACTTTAATGGCTCAAAGAATCTCAGCATTTTTTTATGACTTAACTTGAAACTTCAGCTGCTGAACAGTAGTTTTAAAGCAAATTCAAGGATTTGGTCAGACAATCAAATTAGTTATAAATTGCACTGCTTAAAATGTTTAGTTACTCAGTTAAAAAGCTTTAGTGTGTATATCTGGGAATCTGAAAATATTTTTCTGGAATGAGAGGTGGGGAGGAATATTAGATTGGTTTCTGTCACTCTTCTCACGCACGCTGTGATTTAGTGATACGAAAATCTTTATATATCAGCTGATAGGCTTATTATAGGCACTATAGGCAGTGCTTATAAGCTTTACGATGTAAGGACCAAGTGACTAATCAAAGGAATACTCTGGAGATTTCAGCAGGTTTCTTCAGCCTAGCTTGCACCTATCTCAGATTTGAACCCAATCATATTGCTTAGCTGTGTAGACATTCTACTTTACAGTAGGAAGTTAAAACACTTGCAGAGATTTTCAAATGCTCTCAGGCAACATAAGGCCCTGAGCTCTATTTCCTGAAGTAGAATCTCATGAATACAAAGTGGTCTAGAATGATGCTAAAATAGCAAGGAAGAATTAATGCAAGATGTCATAGTGTACTGATTGCACAAATGCATTCATTGTTTCAATCTGAGTGTACAGCTACAATTTTCATTAGAATTTAGATTAGTTTTGCCAGAGATGCCAAGGGAATTCTCCGGTGCACAACAGTTTGGTCAGTGAAGACGCACAGCTCTGTTTCCAGTTTCAAACCTATAGATAAAAGCACTTTCAAATCTAAAAATACTTCGGTGAAAG